GTACCTGCTGCTAGTACTGCCGCGTTGTTCTCGAAGCATGACTGGGCAATTCTCTTCTCGGGCAGAAGACGAAGTTAATCGCATCAATATTGAATTGCGGAGGAGCAATGAAAATTTCGGAAGAACTTGAGGGGATCGTTCAAGGAAACGGAAGTGCATTTCATAAGTGCACGAAGCAAATTTCGTGAAATTTGCTTTTGTGATTCAAGACGCCATTCAGTGTTGCCACTGGACAAACGACAGGGCTTTAGAACATTTAAGCCTTTGTAGTCATTTCAATATCATTGAACCAAGACAGAGTGGCAGTCCATTTATTCATGAAATAACAAACGGCATATATCATAACGAAACTCATTCCTCGTAAGTCGCATTATTTTTCCGACGGCTCCGCCGAGCAGTACGAAAATCGAAAGAATTTTGCAACCTTTGTCATCAGAGTGGCATTGTTTTCCGTCACACGGCAAAGCCCGTGCGACGGATTAGGAGGAACATACAAGCGACTAGCCACAAAGGCAATTTTGCAGAGACAGAAGAGCGATCAGATGGGGTTCCCTTTTTCGGCTGGATACTTGGGCAACGGGCAATATTGATGCGATTAACTTCGTCATCTGCCTGAGAAAAGAATTGTTAACTCACGCATATATGCCTCGAGAACAACGCGGCAGTACTAGCAGCAGGTACTCGAACAGTACTACTCGTGAAAGTACATTCCTTGCCAGAAAATGGGAAGGAAGTTAAAGTTCTGAAGCGTTACACGGTACATGCTCTGTGAACTGATGTACCGCTAATTCAAAACGATTAGGACAGATAACTGGTGATAAGTGAAGCGCAGGTACGAGCCCATGGCTCTCATGCTGTGTAATACCGGTGCATGTTATGAAGGTCATGCATAAAAATTCTCATACCTCTGTTGACATTAAAAAGCCCTATATGACATTTGCAGTGTGCATAAAGGAGATCATGACGGATGATGTCTTGGAATTTTAGCAAAATCGAGTGTGGGAACTTAGGTCCAGGTCGAGTCAAATTTCAAGGTCATTACAAAACAAGTAGGCCAAGGTCATTACACCATGTATTACATATCATCTGATAGAGAATTCTATAACCTATCCAACGATGCCATATTCACATATTTATCTTTATTATTAAGGGAGTTGTGGCAAGTATTGTGATCCCTGGGCCCGAAGTGCCCAAAAACTGTGGAATTTGTGATCGTCTGTCATTCTCAGAATATATAATGCATGGAGCTGAAATTTGCTGTAGTTTTTTTTTCTCAATAGGTATTATCAGCATGCCGAATTTCATAGATATTGGAGCGGGTCGGGGGGAAAAAAAAGTGTGCGGATTGACATGGAATCACCCAAAAGAGATTCGATCGGCTCGAGATTCGGAGACGAAGAAAAAAAATCGTGGGAGGAAAAATAGAGAAATTGTTTTCCTGCTGTTTTTTTTTTGTTTTCTCTCGTTGGACCAAAGGTCGAGAAGGGACTCGACCTGTTTTCTCTCCGACGTCGACGCTAAGTGCGCGTTTCCGACGTATCCGCCTTGGGTTGCTCGAACCCACTTTAACGTTACGTTACTGTAACGTTACGTCTTTGCTGTCGGTGCAAAGTTTTTTATGTTAATTAAATTGTGTTTCCGGGTGTTCGGCTGTCAGAAAATTGGTAATCGGATGGGTTAAGTCACTTCGCAGCTTAAATTGGCCGAGCGTGAATTTTAAGTCACTCAACACCAAGTTAAGCGAGATCGTTCGGACGAAGCAGACCTCCCTTTCTTACTTAAAGCTGCTAAAACTTCGAAAACGGGGTCAAAGATAAGATTATAAACCACGTAGACCCCAGAGGGAGCGAGGATCTCCTTTCCCGCCTCAGCAGATTTTCCTCTCCAGTTTTTTTTTTTTCCCCTTCGGCGCGCGCGAATCCAGCGCTCCCGATCGCGCCGCGTCCGACCCGCCATTCCGCACGGATGGCCTCCGCCGGGCGAACAACCTCCTCCCGCCCGCCGACAGAAAAACTGCTCGTTGAGTGCGAAGAAAGAGAAATACGAGAAACGCCTCGTCACCCCACTGAAGGTGTCCCTTACGAAGAACTTTTCCCCCGATTTTTTTTTCTCTCTCGGAGGCATTTTCCGATCGCGCCGTCATTTAAGGCCTCTGCCACTACGTTAAATTCCCGCTACGTCAAATTCCCGCCACGTTAAATTCTCGCTACGTTAAATTCCCGCCACGTTAAATTCTCGCGAGATGTGCAAGGACGCGAGATAAGGCGCCTGGAAACTCCGTAATTTCCTCTTATTTTCCATCCATGAGGTTCTCGTGCACTACAGTGCATGCACTAAATGCACCAAATCTCTGTAGATAATAAAACTGGAATAGAGAGAGTCTCGATTATCCGAGCTAAACGGGGCCAAGAGCAACTCGGATAATCGGATAATCGGAATCTCAGAACAACATAAAATTATGCTTATTACTCGAATTATGTTTATTTTACGTACTTCACGCTTTAAATACATTTTTTATTTATCAAACCCCAAAAAATCGCCTCGGATAATCGAGACTCAACTGCACACAAAACATTTCAACCATTTATTTGAAGGCATTTGAAACAAATTTATTTAAAACCTCAAGTTTTAGATCCGAGAAACGACTTTGAGAAAGTCACACGCAAAACCCACTTAACTTGCAAGTCCCGATCGCTCTTCACAAACGCATCTCATCCTGGCATGTGACGATGACTCCGCTCATTCGGCTCGTCGGGATTTCCATCGAAATAATTCGTTTTTTTTTTTTGTTCCCACGCGCGACATACCAACTGATTTTTATTCATCATTCGTCGTAGCTTTATCCTTGTCTCTTCGCTTCGCCGATTGTGTAATTTCGTCGAGTTTTCCTTGGAAACATCGCAACTAAACCGAAGCAGGGCAAAGTCCACCGATCGAGTGGATTCTTCTCAGAAATAATTCAAAATGGCGCCCTCAAGTGGATTCGATTGGGAAAAAGACTCGGAACGAAACCGTTCGAACTGCGTAGGCTCTTAAAACCGCCCGATAAGAAAGAAAGCACCTCGACCTCTGGTGCATTCGAACCCTTATCTCCCCCTATATGAGCCGACCCCCGCGACCGATCCGACACACCCGCTCCAACATGCACCTGACACCGCTTCTCTTCGTCCTCAGCGTCCTCAGCGTCCTCGCCTCCACCCAGGCGAAGGTCCTCCCGCCGTCCTACGAGGACGTGGATGCCCTCCTCGTCGGGTCGGCCGAGGACATCCAGCGCGGGTTCGACATCCTCAAGGATCTGGAACGGAATTGTCCGGTGAGTTCGTCCTGAATTTTCGACCCCATCCCATTATATTTTACTATTCAATATTAACATCTAATTATAATTTAAGTTCTACAATTTTTTTTGCCTCGATTTTATTTTTGTTCCTGATTTTTTTTTTTTTACTGCATTGTGGCTAAATATGGTTCGCCCTAGTTGCATGGTCGCCCTTATCTTTGAGTTCTTGAGCTGTGTTGATGTTTCGAGCTTTTGCCCCCCCTTTTGCCCCCTTTTGCCCCATGATAGGGAGCCTGCTTTTGTTGAAAACGAGTCTCCTCCTTCAGACGCGGATGTCAGCGGGACAGCGCGGAGATCTCGTTAGCGTTCGTGGTGATACAATTGCTTCAATCTGCACCAATTTATTTTAAAGATTAAAATTACAAATCAAAAGTGCTGCATTTGGCGTCTCTTGGCTCTATTCCATCCCTATAGTCCTGAAAATTCCTTCAAGAATAAATTTGACGTTCCCCAACGTCCACAGAGCAACGTGACGGCCCCCTCCGCTTCCGCCACGACTTCCCGCTCCCGCCACGACTTCCCGCTCCCGCCACAACTTCCCGCTCCCGCCTCCACCATCCTCCCGCTCGCGCCACCTCCATCCCTCTCCTCCAGCGTTTGCTCTTCGCGTTTCTTTCTGTCTCCCTTCCCCGAAAGTTTCGTCTGCGATTGTTCCCGTCCCTTGTCGTGCGGTTTGGTCGTGCACAAGGGTACTTGTCTTATTCTCCTTTCATCTTACTCAGTTTGTGTGTAGGACACATATTGCATGAAACATCGCATCCTATTTGTTTCTATAGGAAAATGGAATCCTCCCCCCCCCCCTTCCTCCAATTAAGGCTAATAGTTTAAGTATTATTGTTATTTCTAAAATGGCATTATGGATCAGAGAATCCGTAGAATAAGCACGCAAAGCACCTGATGAAGATGACAGTCGTGTCAACGTCATCTCCATATTCTAGCTTTTGTTTCACGGTGTTTCATTTCACATTCCCCTTTTTCGCTTTCCAGGGGCCTCTACCGTTGGAATTGAAATGGCGACTGGCCTTCGCTCATTGCCAATTGGCCGAGGTCAGGGGTGATCAAGGACGGGACAACGACAGGGAGGCTCTTGCTCGCATTGGTAATATTTTTGTATTTATATTTATTTCACAGCTAGACCTTTTTTTCTGTCATTTTCTCATCATTCTCATTGTCATCGATTTTGCGACTGGACCTTAATAGAGAAATATTTTGTGGCATCAGCTGTCATGGATTTAGTTTTTTTTTTTAAGTTTACCCTTTAAGGTTACATTCCCGCTTCATTCATGATGGTATTCCTCATTCACACGTTTCGTTTTCCTCCCTTGCTGCAGCTTTGAAATACGGAGAAGACGCGCTGAAGGAAGACGAGAACGACCCGGACGTGGCCGTGTGGTACGCCGCGAGCCTGGGCCTGGTCGGGGAATACTCCAGCGTGAAGGAGAGGATCAGAGGGGGGTTCATCTTCAAGGAAAACATCGACAGGGCGGTGCAGCAGAGGCCGAGGGATCCGTTCCTCCACTACCTTCTGGGGAGGTGGCAGTTCGGGGTGAGTGAGCTTGGGAGATTGGTGGTCCGTCGGTGGTCCGTCGGTGGTCCGTCGGTGGCCCGTCGGTGGTCCGTCGGTGGTCCGTCGGTGGCCCGTCGGTGGTCCATGGATTCTATTGGTGGCGCTCAATTGGGGTCTTGTTGGGGTTAGGCGGGCCTTGAGGGCTTAGAAACAATATCATGGGGAATATCGGATAAGAGCGAGATTATACCTGGAACGAAATGCGGAGTGTGTGTGGTAGGAAATGAAATTATGGTTACAACGGTGTTCTTTCGGTATTTTCATAATAGTCGCGATATGATGGAGTAATGAAGAATAAGAGGTCTTTTTCGGTTATATCATACTGCTAGTTCCTAAAGTTTTAGATGGGGGACAGGGATGCAATGCGACCGCGTCGACCGTCGCACATCTGCACGTATATACTGCTTTCAGGCGGAAACTTCAAGTGACACCTGGGAATTAACTGTCTTCGAAAAATAAAATTCTTCACGCATCTTACATATTTATTTATTTATTTTACGCATATTTATTTTTATGTCTATTTATTTAAATTTATTTAATTTTTTTTTTCCTTTAGACCTCCCAACTGAGCTGGTTCGAGAGGAAGGCGGCGGCGGCCCTGTTCGCCGCGCCCCCGCAGGGCGACCTCGACCAGGCGCTCGACGAGTTCACCGCGGCGCATCGCGAGAAGCCGGATTGGCGGGCCAATTTGCTCTTCCTCGCGAAAGTCTTCATCGAGAAGGGGGATTATGCAACGGCCATCCGGCATTTGGATCGGGCGGCGGAGCTCCCCGTCATCACAGCCGAGGTGAAGTTTCATTTCAGAATTGTTTTAAAATAATTTACAATTTTTTTTTAATTTATTCTTTATTAATATTTTGCATTCCTGTCATATTTATCATCATCATTTTCATTGTTGACAGGACGGAAGAGTCAGCAACGAGATCGACAATCTGCAATACAAGTACTCCGGCTACAGATGATGAAGCGTGTTCGAGCGCCGGTGACTCAGGGTTTTCATCTCTTTCTTGCGTGCATGCGAATTTGTGATGATGGAATGAACCAAAGAATTTTTTTTCTAATAATTGCCTTAATTGCCCTCGTCCTTGGGATGATTCACCTTGCACTCGGATGTGGACCTGACCTTCGAATCCACCTGAAGAGGTCCACTTCAGATGAAAGTTTTGTTTTCCTTGTTTTTTTTTTCTTGTTTTTTTTTCTTGTTTTCCTGCGTAGATTCGTGTCGAGTAGGTCGATAAAACCACGCACTGTTATCCATAAGGACCAATCTGGACTATTACTTACCATTGACGGGCCAAAGTCGAAATGAGAAATAGTTTTTCCCCTGCGAGACTCAGTTCCTGCCACTTTCGAGCTGATGAAATATATTTCCACTTATTTATATTCATATGTACCCTTTCCGTTCCGAGGGTGGCTCGGAAAAATTTTTCTTCCGAAATTCGAAACTTTGGTTAGGATCTACGGCGGTAGACTTCCTCGAGATTAACGCCGGACTTGAGCTAGCAACCGTGAATTCGAGTCAATGGTGTTCAAGTGCAAAACAGCAATAGGTTCGTACAAGTCCAGCAAAAGTTGATCTGCGAAGAAATAGCGGGACAGACGCGCGATCAGTCCCTGGACTTCGTAAACGCCGCGAGTGCAACCTCGGCCAGGGGAGGGGGGGGGGGGGGGGGAGACTCGAAAGTGGCAGGAACTGAGTCTCGCAGGGGAAGCGCAGAGAGATAGCCGACTGCGCATGCGCAGAATAGATGACTGCACCTATTTTGACCGTGCTGGAAGGGTGGATTCGCGAGGACACCACCAACTCAACAAGCCGCTTCAGAAGCACCGAATGGCTAACTACGCGGAAAACTACGTTAATCTCGAGGTCTCGGCGTCTCGGTGCGTGACTCGAGAAGCCACGAAGCGTCGAGAGCCATGTTGCCATGCAGCCGAACCATGTTTGCCAGAGGTTACCCGAATTCTTACCCGAGTACCTGTTACCTGTCCTTCTGGGACTTTGATAAATCTCTGTAGCGGTCCTTCGAGTAATCACAAGGTGTTGAACCTCCGGGGGTTGTGGAAGAAAAGACCCTTAAACGCGATGTTGTAATGGGAAAGCGCGACTTCCCCTTCGCACACTTTCGCATATTCACACTTACCCAGAGCAGGGGGGGGGGGGGGGGGGGGGGC